CCGCTTTGTGTCACAGGCCTGGTGAGGAAAGGGTTGCAGCTCCAGCCAGGGCACCGCAGAGCACCCAGGCCCACCTCTCCAGGTCTGGCCCAGCCGCCCGTAGGAGTGCCGTGCCTCAGAGGCGCCACAAAACTGGTTGCTCTTGGGGGCTTCCAGACCCTTTCCCCTTCCCTTCTGAGCACCAGCTTTCCTCAGGGCTTCTCAGGTGTCCTTGATCATCCCAGGACGAGGGCTTGTCCAGAATCACCAGAGGGCCACCGAGGGCCAATGCTCTTCACCCTTTCAGAGGGTCAGCCACGCTGGGTTCTCATACACGTGTCTGAGAGGTGCCAGGAATGTTGCATCCCTACCCCTGCCAAGTCCCTCAGCTTACCCCGGTCCTGCTCCTCTGCTGGAGCTGTTGTTGCTGTGGATGTTACTTTACCAGAGGCTCAGCAGAGGCCTCGCCTCTCAGGGGAGCAGACACCCTGAAGCTCAGTGCCACCGTTTGCTGCCCGCACCTTTCTTGGTGCGGTCTGCTGCCTCTGCTGCAGGCCGTGGTGCATGAGAGGTTCGCTCGCCAAGCCGCCCTGAGAAGGCATTAGTACATTGCGAGTAAATATCCATTTGCTTAAGCCAATCCCAGATTTCCTAATGATCACACTGGATTCCACCAAATTAGCAATTCTTTCAGGCCCAAAGCCCCGCAGCTTGTGAGCACATGAGCTCATTGGGCAGTGCTCCAGTTCTCGTTCGGCACTCCCAGCTAGGCTTGCTTCCTGGATGCTTGCCACACGGTGCGCCGCTCAGCCGTGCAGGGACTTTACCTGGTACGATGCTGGTTAAGGAGCGCCTGCCCTGGCCTGACTTTCTTAAAATTTCACGGGCCATCACTCCCATGTGCCAGGCACTAGGCCAGGTCCCGTGTGTGTGTCAGGGTCAGAGGCAGGGAGAGCAGTGACAAACATGTTAAAAAGTGTCAAGTGGAGGCCCGGACAGCCCGAGTGGCAGATCTGAGATTGGAATGCTGGTCTGGGACTGCAGGGTCCCGAGTTCCTGCGGTGACCCTGTATGGCCTTGGGAGCAAAGGGTGTCCGTCACTGGCCCTCAGTTATCACACAAAGAATGGGCAGCATGCGCCACTTCTCTGGGAGAAGTGATCCCCTCATACTGGGGACTCGGGGGTTTGAGACTTCTCGTGAGGGCTGCAGGCCTTCCGGTAGTCCCTGTTCAGTGCTTATGGGGCCTGAGAGGTCTGGCCTTGGGAGTCAGGGGTGAGGCCCGTACTGAGTGTGAGGCAGAGAGGTCCAGCCAGGTCCCTGCTCCCCCGTCCGTGCGATGCAGCGCTTCTGTGTGGGTCACCCAGGGGTCCAACACGCGCCCCATATCCTAGTTTCTTATGCTTCTTCAGCTCAGCTGACACTGAGGACCCACAGTTGCACAGGGCAGTGGACGCTGCGACGGCAGTATGGAGGAAGGCTATGTGGGACTACCCAAGAGGTCACTGTCCCCGAACCCTGGTGTGTGACGAGATGTAGGCGGCGAGGGCGGAGCTGTGGGCCGCCTTTGGAGGCACAGGCCTAGTTCTCAGTGTTAGTGATATCCACTTGGAATGTCCTGTCGTGTCAGCGTGTAAGAAGTGGGCAGCCTCCCATCGACATGGTGCTGCTCAGGCGCTGTCTCCAGTGTGGCACAAGCAAGGGCCCTGCCCATTCAGAACTCAGTCTCTATAATGTCCAGTGTAAGACATTAGAGATAAAGTAAGTTCAGGTTCTCTGAGGTAATAACAGTGATAATTGAGCTGACGTTTTGTGAACATTTACTGAATATCGGACCCTGTTCCAAGCACTTTATATGTACTAACCTATTTAATTTTCATAACAATTCTATGAAGAGGGCACTTGTATTATCACAATTTTACATGTGAGGTAACTGGAGTGTAAAGAAAGTGTGGCAGTTGCATAGGTTCTCCAACATAGTCAGCAACAGAGCAGCTGGCTTTTGACTTTGTTGAGACAGCTTTACATTTCGTTGCAAGTTGTTTTGCCCACCAGGCTGCCCCTGTCTGCCCTCCCGTGGACCCTGGGTAATTGTCTGTTAGGTACTAGTGTGTGGTCCCAGAGCAGATTTTCAAGGCAGCCGAGCACGAGGCCGTAGGGGTCAGGGGGCTGTGTTTGACTTTTTCCCTGATTAGGACAGAATTTACCTGCTTAAAGTCACACAGCTAGTGAGTGGTACAAGCTTTCTTGATTCCTATTTCATTTTATTCTCATTCAAGAGAAAGGAGAAGGGGGGAGGAGAGAGAGGAACATCAGTTGGTTGCCTTCCACAGTGCCCTGACCAGGATCAAGCCGGTGACCTTTTGGTTATGGAATAACACTCCAACCAACTGAGCCACACCGGCAGGGCACCATGTTTTGTTTTTAATGATTGCATTTCATCTCTACTGTTGGTTTATTATTTATTCCTCTTTTTAAAAAAAATGTAGTGACCAAAAAATACATTTTTACGGGATCACAGCCTGCCTTCAAATGATATTACATCACTTCATGTGCTGTGTAAGAACCTCCTGTCTCTGTGCTATTGTTTTTATTCATGTCACTTTTATATATACTGTATACTCACAAAGTGTTGCTACAATTTTTGCTTTAGACAGTAGTCAATATTTTAGAGAAATTAAAAACATGAAAAAGAATATCTTTTATATTTATCACTGCTTTAACTATTTCAAAGGAACTTTATTTCTTTATATAGATCTATGTTTCTGTCTGTTTTCAATTTATTCTGCCTGAAGAACTTTTTTTTTTAAAGATTTCTTCTAACTAACTCAGATCTAATGGTAAGGAATCCTCTGTTTTTGTTTGTCTGAAAAAGTCTATTCTTTATTTCTGAGCAAGATTTTCTCTGGATACAGAATTCTGGGTTCACTTTTTTTTTTCTCAGCACTTGAAAGATGTCTGACTTTCTGATGAGAAGTATGCTGTAATTATTAATTTTGTCCCTCTATATGTGTGTCTTTCTCCACCTTCAAGGTTTCCTCTATATCTCTGGTTTTCAGCAGTTTGAATATGATGCAGAGGTGTGATTGATTGATTGATTGGTTTGTTTTAATGTGTGTGTGAAGAAGTCCTTGACCTGCTCGGTGGTCTCTGAGAGTCTTGGTGATTTGACATTTTTCATTAGTTTTAGAAAATTCTCAGTCATTATCTCCTAAAATATTTCTTCTCTTTCTGTCTCGTTTTCTTCTAGGACCGCAATTAGCGTATTTGGTCATTTGGATGATCTGTACTGGTTTGGTTTCCCCCCTCTCTCTCAGTTTGGATTATTTCTACTGACCTATCTTTAAGTTTTTATTATTTTCCCTTCATCTGTGTCAAATTTGCTGAGAAGCCTGACAAAGGCATTCTTGGTTTCTTTTACTATGTTTTTTCCCTTAATTTCTGTTGTCTCTATTTGACTCTTGCTTATAGCTTCCATTTCACTCCTGAAATTGCCCATCTGTTCATATATGTGTCTACCTTTTAAACTAGAACCTTTTAACATATTTATCATATTCATGAATCACATTAATCTTAGTTATTTTAAATTCCCCATCAGGTAATTCCAACATCTAGGTCATCTCTGAGTCTGGTTTTGTTGATTATTATGTCTGTTGACAGTGTTCTTTTGTGTGTGTGTGTCTCATCATAATTTTTATATTCAATACCAGATATCATGTGTAGGACAGAGAGATGGAAATAAGTAATATTTATGCCTGGAATGGGCTTTCCTCTTTTGTTTCTAGGCATGGGAGGAGAGGGGCTGAGTTAGGCTAATCAAGAAGTCAAGCTGGGGTTGGGTTTTATTGTTGCTATGGTTACCTTCACTGCCCCACCAGCTTCAAATTCCTCTGATGTTACTTTATGCTTAGAGTTGGGGTGTGTTCGCGAGAAGGTTTTTCCAGTGTTCCATTCCCACCTCCTTCTCCCAACGTTCCTGCCTCTCTCCCCGCAGTAGGCCACTTCCATGTTACTCATGCTTGGTAGCCTGGAGCAGGGGCAGCATTGGTTCTCTGTCGTCTTGGTTCAGACTCGGGCTTGGTTAGGCTCTGTCCCTTCGTCTCTGGAGTGGGTCTCTCAGTGATTTAGTTCCTCCCGCAGCGGTGGGATACCTGAGCATTTGGGCCCTGGGGGGTTTCCTGTCCCTCCCTCAGGGTAGGTTTTGTATTTTCCTCTCTAGCTGCAGTAGGTCTTCATCTGTACCCTGGAGGCAACAAGGTTTGCCCCCCTTCCCCCGGTGGCTTAAGGCTTTGTTCCTCGAGGGAGAAAGGCCCAGCCAAGGCTTTATGCCTTCCCATGGTGGTGGCCACTGCTCTTCTCCAGGCCTGCACCCCAGTGAGGTTTTTTATGACCTCCCTTCCGGCCCTGACCCTGCTTTTTCTCATCAGCACCTGTGCAGGTCTAAGGCGAGGAGTCAACAAGCAGGTACCAACCTCCCTTGTGTCTGCAAGTCCCAGGAATCTATACTCTTCTGCTGTATCATACTTGACATTTGGCAACTGGTTAAAAATGTTTGCTGAATTCTTACCCACACTAGTTATATATGCCTATTATATTTATATGGTAGAAATACTATATAATGATATACTACTATGCATCTCTTCGCAACTCCATGTTCAACAACATCACGTTGGAGGCTTGAAATCAGCCACGATGGGAGTATTTACACCACAGAAATCAATAAATGCTACAAATGAGGGCTTTCCCCCCACTGAGAGCCCGTTTTTAAACATTTACCAGAACACCATTGTTTGGAGAAACTCCCACACAGTTGACTGTGGAGCGTGGTGCCTTTGGAGAGTGGCCCGGCGGCCTCTGGGACAGGCCGGGTCCAGCAGCGCCAGAGTGCCTGCGTTTAGGCCGTCTCCTCCACAGGGCAGTCACCAGGCCTCTGGCTGGGAGCCCGCCTTGGGGAGGCTCCTCCATGCTGGAGGTGGTGGGTTCATGCTGCCGCCCTCCCTCCCTCCCTCTTTCTCCCCTCAGAGCGCAGCCAGGACAGCACGGCCGTGGCACTCTCTGACTCCAGCTCAACACAAGACTTCTTTAACGAGCCCTCCAGCTCGCTGGAGGGGTCCCGGAAACCCTACGTTGAGAAGAGGCTGCCTGTTCCCAGTTCCCAACCAGGACCAACCAGTAAAGACCTCCCAGGGGCCACAGAGGAAAGAGGTAGGAAGACCTAACTCAGTAAATCAGAACTGCTTTGATGCCCTGTGGCGGTGTGGGCAGCGCTGAAGAAAGCAGGCTGTGGTGTGGCTCGGGCCCCGCTTGGCTTTTGTCCTCTTGCCTCCACCTGCTGCCCTGGAGCTCGGCCGGGCAAGTTACTCGGTGGGGCCTCTGTTGTCCTTCCTGTGGGTGGGAGGGCTCCCAAGGCCACTGCAGGGTTGTGAGGATAAAATGAGAGCACAGAAGGTGCCCGCTTGGTGCCTGGCACGTAGTGTGCGCTCAGTGGGACCTGTCATTGTTACGATCCCCGCCATGGCTCAGAGTGGAAAAGCCATGTCCATGACATGAGTGCCCCTATTTTTTTCTTGATAAATGGCAATTAAAAAAAAAATCTTTGGATCCTAAATGTCACAAATGTGGGGATTTTTTTAGTCTGAATTTCATATTAGGCATTTAGGGGAAAAAAATCCTTCTTTTTTGGTGGGAGAGGGGTAGGGCTGATTTTATTCTGGGGTACGCCCAGCTTTTTTGGAGTCCCCGGGTCCCTTCTGTGGAAATGAGTGGCCGAAGCCCCACACCCCTACTTGCTGGGAGAATGAATGCAGGCCGGGCATCCTCTACGCTGCTCTGAGGCTGTGACTGGTTGGCCGTACATAGATTTTGAAAGCTTTCCCCCTTTGGCCAGGGCCAGGGCCAGGGCACACAGATGCTTGCCAAACAGTATCAACATCCCAGACCCATGTTTGGGGGTCCTCTGCCAGGCATTGTTTTAACTCGTAACCACCCTAGAAATAAAACACTGTGATGATTCCCATTTTAGGTGAAAATGGGTGAAAAACCTCAGATTGAGTGGAGCAGGAATTTGCCCATGGTTGTTCTGTACCCTCAACTACTACCCCATGCTGCCTCTCTAGCTGGGCTACATGGGCAGATGAGGTTGATGATAACCTGGCAACCCCAGGGTCCAGGGCCTAACCCTGAGAAGTCGCCGCACAGGCCCTGGATGGGAGAATCAAGGTTCAGGGGCTCACATGTAGTTGTGGCGGTGGGGCCAGAGCCATGTGCACTAGAGATAGCCTCTCCCAGCTCTCTGTTCCTTGCCAGCCTCCGCTAGCTGGCCTTAGAAGGGGATGAGACTGCATGCCCTGCAGATTGGACAAGCAGGCCATGGATTTACCTGCCCTGGACCCCCTTCGAGAGATGAGGCCAATGCCCTGCTTTCTCACTAGACAGTCATCATACTATCCCAGACCAACGTTAACGCTCCACAGCTGCCAGAAGCACTGCAGGGAGCCTGGAAGGGGAAGGAAGAAGTAACCTACACTCCCAACACTCTAACACAGTGACTGTTGTTCACGTCAGTCTCAAAAATAAGATTATTTTTACCAATGGACAAGTGAGGCCTCTCGTCTGTGGTCCATCAAGCAGCAAACTGCTGTGGTTGCTGCTGTACCTCTTCACTGTGCCTGGGGAAGGGAGGGAGCCTGGGGGGTTGCTGAGCTGCGAGGAGGTCAGCTTTGCCCCGGCCCAGCCTGTGCAGGCCTTTTCAGGCATATGAGGAGCGCACTGCCTTTTCCCTCCCATCCAGAGCCAGTGCACTAAGCAGATAGTGTGTAGGGCTGGCCATTGGTAAAGAAAGTTAGGATAGAACCAGTTACTACAGTAGCAGATGGGCTTGAAAGGAACCATTGTGGGCTCATGTTTCCCCTGTAAGCCCTGCCCTGCCTGGGTGGTGAAGTTGATGAACTTGCTGTTGGGAGAGAGAGATGTTCTGAACTGCACCTGGCAGAGAATGTGAAGAGCTGACTGCCCTCCGGGACTGACCCTGGTCAGTGGCAGTGGCTGACCCACATTCTTGTGGGTTCCCACTGGGCAGCAGCCATAGCCACCAGGGCCCCAGAGCTCTAGCAGCTTTTGCCCTTGGTGGAAAGCCAGGATGTGGGACCAAGCCAGCACTGAGTGTGGGCCCTGAGTGTGCCCCATACCCCTAGTTCTCCAGGCCCTGCCACTAGCCTGTTGCTGCTTTCACAGTTGGTGTGAAAAGGCAGTGGTCCCCAACCTTTTTGGCACTAGGGACCAGTTTCATGGAAGCCAGTTTTTCCACAGACTTGGCAGGGAGGAGACAGAGCTCAGGCAGTAATGCCAGCAAAGCTTTGCTCACTCGCCTGCCGCTCACCTCCTGCTGTGCGGCCCAGTTCCTAACAGGCCACGGACCAGGAGGGTACATGGCCCTGTTATAAGGTACAGATCCTCACTTACACATTTCACATCTCTTGTGGAGTAACAGGGAGTAGAGGAGCTCAGGTCTGCTCCAGGCAACAGAAAAGACAATTGTGCCCTGTCTGGCACTGAGGTTCACTCAATCCCAAGCTGTCCAGCAGGCACAAGCTGTTCCATTTCCCAAGGGCTTGCCTCCCTTATTTAATTCTCTGCTCCGACATGTACCCAGGTGCCTTGAGAAAAGAGGTTTCTCCATAGGTGACTGTTGCAGCCAGCTGAAGCTCGCTTTTTCAGGAGTCAGAGCTTCAGAAAATATCTAAAATGTGAATGTAGCAACAGTAAAGATTTATAGTTTTAATAGAGAAAAAAGCCACAACAATTTCAGCACCTAGACACAAGCCCACTCTGTTATATCACTCTGAGGGCAGCAGATTTGTCAACATCCTGTGAGGTCCAGGTAGCGGGCACCAGTGGTCTCCTTGACAACGGGCTGAGGATGCTGGTTTAGCCACAGGGATTGCCATCCTGCGGCTGTGCCTACCCCTTCTGGTCAAGTAGAAGCTTGGTGACCGTGCCTGAGCACCTAGTGCAGAGTTGGGCCGGGCGCAGCAGGTCGGACGGCTCCTGTGCTCTGCTCTGCTGGCACACGCACCATGGCCGCTCCAAGCCAGTCCTGGTGGCTGGTGGCAGGTGGTGGCCGAGGCCAGAGTGGCCACAGGATGCACCTGCTCGCCTTCTCTCAGTAGGAGGAAGTCCCTGTCTTCATGCCACCAGGGTTAGAATTAGACATCCTGGCCAGAAAGAGTTGTGTGGGCTTGTTGACACCTCTGACCCTCTTCCTTCCAGTAAGGTGACCTCTGCGGCCTGTTCAGCGGTAGAAGTGGATGCTGTGGGAAGCCATGTCGCCCATCTCCCCTGAGCTTCCTCAGATCTCCCAGAACCCAGAGCAGTTGGGTTTTTAATGTAGTCTGGCCTCACTATTTTGCTGTTTTTTTAATGTGTCCTTAGACATGCATTCTGAGCTCTGTTAGGAGTAATTCTTGACTCTCCACTCACCTTTTCTAAGAAGTGTGTTTCTGTATATCTTTGTGTCCAAGCACTTACCGCTGCATGTGAACTCCTGGGAGCCCTGCACCTTCATCCGATTTCCCTGGCTCCCCTTTGCCACCAACAAAGGCTGGCTGGGTCCAGAGTCGTTGCCTAGACTGTGTTTGTTGAGCCACATTTGAAATGTGGTTTTCAAATTGAACACACTAGAAACTGGCACATTTTTGAGGAAGGCGATGGTATTCCCCGTCAGATGGGCGCTGACCCGAGGCAGCCTCGCAGTTGATGTTGCTGGGCTATGAGTGGACGTGGGTGGGACCTAAGAGATTTCCTGCGCTCCCATGAGAGGAGATCAGATACGATCTGTCTCTCAGACTTTCCCTCAGCTTCAAACAGCCCCCAGGCCTTGTGCTAGGCTCCAGGCCACAGGGAAGGGGGGAGACGCTCATGCATAAACCCAGTGGGCTCAATGCCATCGGACAGGCAGGCACAGGCGAGGAGGCCTACAGGAGGAGTGGACACTGAGTGTAGTCCTGAGGGGCGAGAGCAGGAGAGGGAGCAGGGCAGGGAGTGTGCCCAGGATGCAGGAGACAGTGGAGAGGCAGCAACAGGGAGCAAGATGTTCCCAGTGGCTGGTCACAGTGTGTGAGGCCAGGAGGGGAGCTGGGGGGATGGCAGGACCGATAGCAGGTGGCTTTGGGTGTCCTGGGAGGAGCCTGGCTTTGGGTTGGCAGCCGAGGGGGACAGAGGGTGACTGCTCAGATTCTTTACTTACCAAGAAGAGCAGTGGTGGGCCAGCTTGACGTGCACCTGATAATCTGCCTGGTTGTGCTTAGACTCAGTGAGAGGGGAACTTGGGGCCTTACTCCCTGCCCAATCTGTACTGTCCTAGCCTTGTCCTGGCTGTTGCTACAGTAAGGAAGGGGCTCAGCACACAGGGCCGACAGGCGTCAGAGTTGGTGCCAGCCTGCTCCTCCGGCCTCCTCCGGGCAGCCTGTGCCAGAGTGCTGGGTGCCTGGGGGCCAACTCTCCCTTGACATGCTCCCACCACCTTCCTTTCATCCCTTCCTCCCTGGCCAGTCGTCTGCTGCAGCCCCTGTCGCCCAGCCCAGGCTCTCCTGCGCGGCCTGCCCTGCCTTCCTGGTGCAGTCCCGGGTGCCCAGGTGCTCGGGGTTCACACCCAGCAGCGGCTGCCGCCCTGGAGAAGGCTGTTGGGCAGGCTGTGGGCTGAGGCGCTGACTGGTGGCGCAGCTGCAGCCCTTTGTGTGCCTTTCCTGGCTCTTCTGTTCTAAGGTGGTGGCAGTCACACCTGCTCTCTCTGCACTGCTTCCCTGTTCACCGGCACAGTCCCTGGAGGCGGAACAGCCTTGTGCCACCATGCAGAGTCCAACTCTAACGCCTGCTCTCTTCAGCCTTGGGGCCCCTCTGCTAGGTGCCAGCTGGGACATCCAGTTTCACAGGGAGGAGACTGCGAGCTACACCAGTCAGCTCACTGAGGGGTCTCCATCACTGGTGATGAACCACTTAGGGCAGAACCTAAAACCGAGGTGACTTTTTTCCTTCTTCTTAACTGTAGGGAAAACTGACGAATCCCTGGAGAGCACAGAAGGCTTCCGAGCCACAGAGCAAGGCAGCCAAAAGCCTGTTGCAGAGCCCCCAGCCTCTGCCTGCATCCCTGCCAAGTCCTCAGCATCTGCACCCACGCTGTGGGACGGGAGGAAGAGAGGGGACCCCTCGGGGGAGCCAGCAGCCTTCCCGCAGGGGCTGCCGGCTGGTGCTGAGGAGCAGCGCCAGTTCCTCACGGAGCAGTGCATCGCCTCCTTCCGCTTGTGCCTCAGCCGCTTCCCCCAGCACTACAAGAGCCTCTACCGGCTGGCCTCCCTGTACACCTACAGCAAGACCCACCGCGTGAGTGGGTGCTGGGAGTGGGGCTGGGCCCAGCAGGTCGGGAGAGGGGTTCAATATTCCTAGGGTTCGTAGATGTCTTCGAGGGTTGGTGGACAGAACAAAAACAGATTGGAGCTGTTGAAGGCCTTGGGCGGCATTGCTGGGAGGGATGGGAGAGGTGACTGCAGGAGACAGCGTCAGTCCAAGAATGGTCAGCTTTCCAGGTCAGAGGTGGTGAGGGCTGCAGGCTGCAGAGAGGGATCGAAGGGGAGTGGGCACGGAGGCTGCTCCCACAGCGGGGCCACAAGCTTGGGTACTTGCTGTGGGTGCAGGATGAGGGCCACAGGCTCACTTCCTCTGACCTGTGAGGGTCTGTGTAGCGACTTGCGCCCTGCTGTCAGGTTCCCTCACCCCGGCCGGTCTCTGGTCATCCTCGGCATGGCCCACCGTGCACGTCCTCTGGAGGCAGAGAGGCCCCCTGCCTCTGTCCCAGGGTCTTGCTTGCTCTGGGCACTGTCCCCTCTGGTTGCATCCTGCAGAGGCCTTCTTGCTGTCTCCCTGTCCCTGGACTCACCTCTCTGGTGCAGCTGCCAGAGCCATCTTCACAGCCCCGGTCGCATGGGGGTTGGGTGCTGACAGCCTCCCCCAGCTCTTTTTGGAAAGCAGATGATGTAGCAATTCATAACAGCTGTGGCCCAGGCTTAAGAGTCCCTACGGCTTCCCAGTCAGGCCTTTAAGCTGGCATTTAGCATTTGTGGAGGGATTGTGGCATGTTGTGCATTCTTTCACTCTCTCCTTGCTTACCCAGGAGACACTGTGGAGACAGTACCCGGGTCATGGTCTCTGTCCCCTGTTGAGCCACATTCAGAGGGGCAGACAGATTGAAAACATGTGGTTGAGCAAATAAAACAAGTACATTGTGGTAAATAATACAGAGAAGATAGTGGGGTGGCGTGTAGGGTGGGCTGCCGCTTTGGCTCCGTGAAGACACTTGTGAAGAATTTTAGGGTGGCCATGGGCGGCGTGGGGGGCAGTGGTGGGCCGCAGGAGAGGGCAGGCTGCCTGGGCATGTGGCAGGCCTGGGTGAGCAACCAGGGTGAGGGTGAGGGCCATTGAGGGCCAGGGTGGTAGGAGCAAATAGCGGGGGCTGTGGTCTTTGCTTTGTCTGGGCTGCCTCCTCCGCAACGTCCATGCTCAAAACCTTCTGCTCCCAGAGGCCCCGGCCAGCTCCTGTCGCTAGTTTTTCTGTGGGATGTTTGAAGAACTTCCGGAAGGGCACTTGGCAAGAGGGGCAGACACTGGCTTGGCATGGGTTATATGACAGGAAGTTGTTACTTGGCAGGAGTCTCTTTGGGGACTAGGCACAGGTAAGTGCCCTGTTGCAGTAGTGACCCTCCAGCACACTCACGTGGCCTGGTTGGTTTTCCCAGAGCAGAGCAGGTGGAGCGGGTATCCTCAGGCCTGGGGCTGGGGGTGTCATATCTGGGTCTCTGTCTCTGCTGCAGGGCGCCTACCTTTCCCAGCTGCTGCTGCCCACCATTGCTGCTGGCGCCAGGCTTGAGCCTGGCCCGCTCACCTCCCGCCGTGCACCGCACAGTGGAACTTACCTCTGGTGTCCTGCCTTTTTGGGCCCAGGCAGATCTGGGTCTTAATGAACCTCTGCGCCACCTCCTCCCCGCCCCCCCGCCCCCGCCCAGTAGCAGTCTGCAGGGTCCCATTGGCTGATGCTTCCTTCTTGTCTCCAGCATGCACCAGCACTGCTTTGGGAACTGTCTCCCTTCCCTCCTTTGGGACTAGCAGAGCCCAGTGCAGGAGCTCTCACTAGTCTTGGGTGGAAGGGATGCTGGCAACCATCATGCAGGCCTTTCCCGCCTTGGGTGTCCCCCTCTTCAGATGTTCCCCCGGGCAGCCATACAGCTCCTGCCAGGTGTGGTCACTCAGAGCAGGACAAGGTGTGGCAGGTTGCCTTCTCCAGAAGCTGAGATGGAATTTGAGGTGCAAGATGCCTATTGGCGAAGAGCCCTTGTGGAAGTGAAGAGGGAGATGCAGGGTTCGGTGGAGGGAGAGCTGAGCTATGATACGGGCCCTACAGAGTCCCTAGTGGTCAGCCTTCCACTCCCCTCTCCCCCCTCCCCCCAACTCAGAGTGAATGGCTTTCATCTGAGCAGGAAGGAGCCTTTGCAGGCAAAAAGGGCTCCCCAAAGCCCCAGGCACTGGTTGCTATTATCACAACCTGTCCTGTCACTGGGGAAATTTTTTAAAAGTAGAGAACAGTATTTATGTCAAAAGTAAAGAAAAACAGGAGAGGGGACATTCTCCTATTCACAATTATGCCACCCTAAAACAAAAGCATTCTGTGTCTGTTTCTTCCCAGCTCTTGTGTGCACACACTGTTGACTGTTACTTCCGAGGCTCCAGGTACTTCAGCTCTAGGAGGTGGGGACCATGTCCTTTCTACTTGACATCTGGGCACCTGGCTCAGGGTCAGTCACACAGGTGTGAGTGATAGTCTGGCACGAGTCCAGCAGCCTCACCCAGGCCCAGTCACTCCACTGGCCGTGCGCACATTAGAGCGTCTGTGCCCACAGTTTGCCATTTCGCTCTTTCTGTGAATGTCTTCCTGGTCATTTTGGTCACCCTGTGACAGTCTCCGAGTGACCCAGCCATCCCCGGTAGTGGGGACAGAGGCTGGCATGGCTGTCTGCCCCATGAACGTCAGTCAGTGTCCCTGGCAACCCCCCACAGATGTCACATTCCGTTCCTGTGTCTCTTCTGTGAGTTGTGTTCCCAGGTTGGGATCCCTGGTTTTCTGAAAAGGAATGCTGGCCTTGATTCCAAAAAATACCCTCTTTCTTGTGCAGCAACGGCATGGGTGCCAGACATGCTCAGTGCTCTGGAGACCACCACACATCCTACGTCCTGACTGTATCCCTGATGGCTCCTTGGTTTCCTCCATTCAGACCTTTGCTGAGTAGTCCTTGCCACCCCAACTTGAAGGGCAGGTCACTGGCTCTACTGAGAGCCTGAGTTAAGGCCAACCTTGCCTGGAGAATGCTGCCGTCCTGGGGGCTGGGCCCCCGGTGTCAGCATGGCCACAGATCTGGGGACACTGCTCCTGTTCTCAATGACTAATGCAGAACCATTAACTGACAGGCAGCCACCGCTTTCCAAACACAGCTGTTTGGTAACAAACACTTCCCGCTGTGTGTATTTAACAGCCGCACATTGCTTCATGGAGTCCCGTCTGTGGGCTTGGCAGTGGCACTTTCCTTTTGCCATCTTGTGGCTCAGTGGCTGCCAGAGCACCCATCTTCAAGCCTTTGGAGACGCCCCCGGGGCTGTGCATGGCCTTTCAGTAAGTGCCCCCACATGCGGATCTGCTCAGCTCAGAGCTCTTCAGCCTCCGCAAAGAAGCTGCCTTCATGGGTAGAGCACTGCTTGCTTAGCTGCGGGCAGCAGTATTTTGTGGGAGGGGAGGGGATGTGGGTTTTGGGGCCTGTCTCACCTGGGTCCATATGCTGGCTCTATGTAGGAACTTGAAGATCTCAGGGCTCTTGTCTCGTGATGCTCCCACAGAATTGTTGTGACAACAAGCCGAGGGTGGGGTGCTGGGCACACCGTGCACCAGCCCTCAGCCTACAGTCCTTCTCCTTCCCTCTTGCCTCCAGTTGGGCCTCCCACCAGGATGCTAGGGCCCAGTTCCTCTATGTCAGCATCTCCCATGTCTTCTAGCCCCTTCACTAGGCCTTCTGAGGGCTGGGTCTTTCCCTGGTGGACCCTTGATGTCCCTGCCTAAGTCTGCCCTTCTGCCCAAGGTTGGGTTTGCTGCACACATGCTGGTCGCAGTGCCGACAGGCAGGCCTCCTGTTGGCCTACGCCGATGGCCAGGGACGCCTGAGGTGTGCTCCGGATGCTCTCCACACTGTGAGCGGGGAAGATCACTTTTACTGCTGTCCACAGGGCCCGAAGCCTAGCTACTTCATCCCTTACAATCCCGGAGATCAGAGTCCTCACCAGGATTTTGAGCCCAGGACTCAGTTTGTCCTCATAAAAACCTGGCTCTTTGAGCCTACAGGCAGCCCAGGAAAAAGATCACATAGACTGGAATGCTTTTCATCCAGAGGGTTCTGGCCTTCACTCCGGAGATCCATGGGCACCCTTGCCCAGGCCTCCCCCAACCCACTGCTTTGGGGAACTGAGCCCCTGCCAACCTCCTGTTCTGAGGGACCTAGGACAGAGTAGTTTATAAGATGGTCCCCAGAACAAGCCTTGAAAAAGAACAAGCTTGGAGGATTCACACTTCCCGATTTCGAAACTTACTATAAATTTATAGTAATCACAACAGTGTGGAATACTATTCAGCCTTAAAAAGAAAGGGGATTCTAACACATGCTACAGCAAGAATGAACCTTAAGGACATTGTACTAAGCAAAATAAACAGTCACCAAAAGACAAATACTATATGATTCCACTTATATGAGGTACGTGAAGTAGTCAGATTCAGAGAGATAGGAGAATGGCACTTGCTAGGACCTGTGGGTAGGAGGAAATGAGTTGTTTAGTGGGTATAGAGTTTCAGTTTTGCCAGATGAAAAAGTTCTATAGATCTGTTGCATAACAGTGTGAATATATTTAATACTGCTGTACACTTAAAAATGGTTAAAATAGTAAATTTTATGTATGTGTTTTATACCGCAATTACAAATAAAAAACAGTGTGGTACTAGCCTAAGGATGGATATATAGATCAATGGAATCGAATTGGGAGTCCAGAAATAAACATAGACATCTATGGTCAATTGATTTTCCACAAAGGTGCCAAGATACGTCAGTGGGGGAGAGGACAGCCTTTTTCACAAATGACACCGGTATAACTAGATAGCCACATACAAAAGAATGAAGTTGTACCCCTGCCTTCACGCCATGTATAAAAATGAACTCAAAATGGATCAAAGACCTAAATTTCAGAGCTAAAACTGTAAGACTCTTGGAAGAAAACATAGGTGTTGCTCTTCATGACCT